TGAACATACCATTTCAAATTCAACAATAACAAATGGGCCAAGAAATAATCCAAGAGTTTCTGCTAATACTAGAGCAAGAATACAAAAAATATTGAAAGAACTTGAAGAACAATCTGTTATAGTTAAATTAGGAGATGCATCAATTGCTGCACCTTTCACTAGCAAAATGTCGTCGATTCAATGTAGTAAGTCTTATTGTATATAATATTCTAATAACAACATCAATATAAATTCATATAATATTATATTAATATTTGTTTTATTATAGTATGCCATGTTATTAAGCAAGGACGATGCACTTTAGTTACCACCTTGCAGATGTTCAAAATTTTAGCACTTAATGCATTAGGACTTGCATATAGCCAATCTGTCCTTTATTTAGATGGAATAAAATTTAGTGATGCACAAGCTACATTACAGGGTATTTTACTAGCCACTTGTTTCTTATTCATATCAAGATCAAAACCATTGAAAACATTATCTAAACAAAGACCTCTTCCAAATATCTTTAATTTATATACGATTGCTACTGTACTCCTTCAATTTGCTGTACATTTTTTTTCTCTTGTATATTTAGTTAAAGAAGCTACTTTATTATCTCCAAAGTAAGTAAAATAATAAAAAATATATTTAAAAATTATGTAAATACATATATTAAATATCTAAAGAATTAATAATATTAAATTATAAATATTAATTTTTTTTTACTACAAGGAGTGATAAATTAGCAGCTATATTAGCTCCAAATAATCCATATAATGAAAGTATGGCCTTGAATACAAATTTTAATGATGAAGATGAACCATTTGAACCAAATTTATTAAACAGTACAGTTTATATTATTGCAATGACAATTCAAATTTCTACTTTTGCAATTAATTATCGGGTAAAACATTATACTAAGTGAAACATCATTTATTACTTTATTTATGACTTTATTTTATTCTAATTTAACAATTCTATTATACAGGGTCATCCATATATGGAAAGTCTATTACAAAATAATTTTTATTATATAGTCTTATAGGCAATGCAGCCGTTATATTGGGATTAACATGTGGATTTTTACCTGAATTAGCAACGCAATTTGAAATTGTAGATTTTCCAAGCGATGTAAGTGAATATAAAGAAAATTTAGTTTAATTTTTAGTTAAAGTTCATATTTATATTAATGTTTATACTTATTTAACTTATACTAATTTATATTTTATATTTATAGTTCCGCAGTCTTTTAATTCAAGTATTAATAGCAGACTTTATTCTTGCATATATAGTTGATAGAGTCTGTTTATGGCTTTTTGGAGAAGGGAGACATCAAAAACTGTGATTAGTACACAATTTCTATATTCCACTTTTAACTCGAAAAGTGCGAAAAATTAAATATGCAAATTTGTTTTCTTATTTCACAAAAAACAAATTATCTTTGTTTATTATTATATTTATGAATTATATTACGATTCCTATATGGAATATAATGCTTTTAAAAGACTGACCAATATACAATTGAGAAGTCATTATTAAAAATTCATATTGTTGATAGTTTTACATTAATGAAATCTTTGTTGCTCATTGACAAATTTAATGATAATTCTTTGTGAAATAAGAAAATTAAAAAAAATTGAGATATATATTATATATATATATATAAATACACACACATATGTATATGAGTATGTGGTATGTATGTTTTAATGAGTGTAAGTATTACCATAAAAAGTGAAATAGTAAAAAGAGCATGCAATGTGAGTGTGTACAAATGATAAGTAAATAATGCATAATATCATCATTATTATATATATCATATTTGGAAACAATAAGTGTACCTTGAGAACCTGATTTATGAGAATTTATAAAAAAAACTTCTTTATTGTATTAAAACATATAAAAAAACTGACTTTTAATATTATATAAGATGTTAATATATTAATGAGTTATCTTTGAAGACTCGATTCTAAAACAAAAAAAAAGTTAATATATAAAAATATCGATCTTATTTATTAAGTTATTCGCGTAATAAAGCAAAAAATAGCGACGATGTGATGAAAATAGAACTCAGATGTTTCGTCAAATTGTGTTATTGCTTATAATTTAATAAATAAACCTCAACCAATATTTTTATATATCAATTTTTTTTTTATTTTAGATTCTAGAATCTATTCTCATAAAGTTTCATATGAATATATTAATATCCTATATATAAATAAAAAGAAAATTATTAGTAGATGTTTGAAATTTATGGTAAAATCTCACATATAGATTATAATTGTTTATTATACTAATAATTATTTTAATAGAAACTATTGAGTTATAATTTTTATATTTTGTATAATTAACATGTTTTTTTTTTAAATAATTCTTATTACTAACATCATAAAAAATGCATATAATATATAAATATTTAAACTAATTCAAATAGTAAATGTAACTTAAATTATACTTAAATTTTTGAGTTTATATTTTTTATTTAGTATATTATTTTCATATATATTGGAATCAAATTTAGATGAACTAATGTAAAGTAGATAATTTTAATTACAACATTCCAATTTTATTTCCATTCTATTTTTAACAGTATAAACAATATAAGTGATTAGAAATATATGTAACTTTGTTTATTAAAAATGTTTGTGTTTCTGTTTCGTTAACAAATAATAATGCGTGCACACAGAACTATTAGATGTGATCGATGAATGCATATACTTTGTTCAATATTGCCATTTTTACAACAATTAATACAAAAAAATAAGTCTTATGTTAAAAAAATTATTCAAAATTCAATGGTATTGTATTTGCTGTACTATGATGCAAATTTTTATAGCATCATATTTTTAGATTGAAAATCCTAAATAAAAACTGATTATATATTATTATCTTTGTAATTATTTATAATGATTATGATAAAATACTTTGTTATAAACACTAATTGTTTTTTTTTATTTTAATTTTCTTAAATTATTTTAATGTAAGTTTTTATATCTTATGTATCCCTATCGTGATAAGCAAAAATATATAATCAAATGAATAATATATATCAAATGAAAAAAAAAAAAACAATAGAATACAACTGTAATAAAAATAATTTAAAAAGATATATACATATGTATTTAGTAATGGGGAATAATTGTCAGTATCTGTGGTTAGAATTAATTATATAGGATTAATCGTCAAATTTTATTTGATTTGAAATTATAGAAGCAACTTAACAAATTGTATATTTACCTTATATTATTTCATTAATGTTGAAATTAGATACACGAAGAATATTTATATAATCGTTTTGATTCAATGGTAATATATTAACATTTCACAATGTTTTTGATAGCATTTACGATTTTATTTTCTTGATCTTTTTTCCTATCTAAGTTCTCTATAATTTAATATCACGCAATTAATTTAATTTAATATTAAATAACCGACAAAAAAATCAATTAAATTTGTGATTTAAATTGTTTACTGCTAGAACAAAAAATTGAATGAATTTTAGATTTCGATCGAGGAAACCGATTGTTGCACATCGAACATCGAACTTTGACGACAGTTGACTGTTGATCACGGAACATGGTTGATCGTTACGCTATATCTTTTGTTTGACTATATTTATTAACCGTGTTATTTTGCTGCGTGTTTCTTTTTTTTTTAATATTTAAATTGTGTAAATCTTTTGCATTATATCAGCTAACGAAAATATGTTTATGAATATTTCGGATCACGTAACCGCACTTTTTCATTGTGATTTTCGCGGTTGTGCTTGACGTCCTGCGTCATTCCTTGCGTTTGATTATTTGATCGATAGCTTTGAAATTTTATTTTGGTATGTGAATCAGTATATAGAAGTATATTGAACATTTCAATTATTTTTTTTCTATTTTCATTAAATTGTTATGTGATCATTTAGATATTAATTTAGAATATTCATGAAAAGAATAAATAATTCCATATTAATTATTATTTTACGAATATTTTCTATATTAATATTGTTTATAATATGCCGATTTATTTAATTAAAATTATTTATATTATGTATGTATATATATTTAAATTAATGGTTTATGCTCATTTAAAATTTTTTACATTGAATTATATTTACTGATTCATTTTAAAATCTATTTTCATAATTCGTTCCAAATTTAATGTTTGTACATGTTTATAAGATTGCAAGTTAAATATTATTTTGTGCATACTCCATAAAATGAGGACAGAAATAAGAAAAATGAGACCAATTACTTTCTAAATATTATTTTGTAGAAGTTTTAGAAAGAAATTCTTAGAAAGTATTACTTGAATAATAAATAAAAAAAAATCAGAACATGTGAAAAAAGAAAATTACTACTCAGAATTTAACGTTTAAAAAAATTATTCATTATTTTTTATATTCTTACCGATCATCGATCAAATTGAAATAAAAATATAATTAACATTAAATGTAAATAAATTGTGCTCATGATATGTATGTAAAAGGTAAAAATTTAAACATATATTTCGAATACGAGTGAGCCTATCGTTACTAAATATAAGGAAAACTATTTATAAAATTGAGTAGATAGTAAATACTTATCCATAATCGATTTCTACTACATCGTTTGCTGATTATTTTCAGTCGGTAACAATATTTAATTAATTTTAATTGCATGCATATATATTTATATTACGTTGCATGTATATATATATATATATAAAACCTAATAGAAGAAAATAATCGAATGTTATTATATATGTGTATATATATATATATATACCTATCAAGAAACCATATGTATGTAGCATGATATCAAATATATTTTTTTCACTAACACATATTTTTTACTAAAAATTGGCAAATTTTTATTGTAAATTTTAAATGCATGATATATAAAAATTTTTTTCAATATATTTTTCAATTTATTTCAATTCATTCAATTCTATATGATCGAGACTCATAGAAAAAGATTGAGAAGCAAATAGATTTCCGGTTTCAAAAAAAGGAATAAAAACTTACGATATTAATGTATTGTATTCACATGAATTGCTATATATTATTTTTCACATTTTTGAAATGATTTTTCATTAAATTCTACGTCTCACTTTATTTTACAACAGTCTTTTAATCCATGTCTATTCATATCCTGTAATGTGAAACATAGTCTACTATCTTGAATCAAAATTGATTTCTGTATGCTTCTGACATCTACAATAGAACGAATGATATTAATGTAAATGGCGCTAGGTTTAAATATCTAATATTATTAGATTAGATTAATAAATCCGATTGCATTTTTTTTATAGGAAATATACATTATAATATTGATAATTAATTTAAAATTTATTTAATTAATTATATATGTAATTTTTTATTTATCTATGTCATGATTTTTCTATGGTATTTTGATATTGGTATTAAATTAAATATTTTTTTACTATAAAATTTTTCGCTTTTTATATTAAAAACCTTTCTTTTTATATTAAAAAGATATTTCAGATATGTTTATTTTATTGGTGTTCTTAATCGATTTTTTATTGATAAAATGTCGCAATGTATGAAAAAATCACATTGAGTAAAATCTAGTGAACATAGCAGGAAGAATAAAATTTCAAATTATAATAATAATTTTTAATGCATTGTTAGAACTATATAAGGCAATTGTGCATTGTCATGATAAAAAACAGTTTCTTTTTTTGGATGCGAGTAATGCTTTTAATTTAGTTAAACACGATATTTTTTACTATCTATAGTAATAGTATAGTTAAGGAAAATAATAGAAATAACAAAGCATTCCTTTATAATCTCATTAAACAGGAAACAAAATCTCTTTAATCAATGATTCAATGAAAATGAATTTATTATACAACTTAATGATAATTAAAAATATTTTTTAATAAATATGATTATATAATAGTTTTTATTAGATAAAAAATTTCTTAATATGATTATTATGGAAAATTTTTTGTATTTTGATTTTACAAAAAAAAAAAAATAAATAAGTAAAATGAATAAATGAATAAAAATTTTTCAATATATAATATTCATAAATATATATTTGATATATATTTATATTTACATACATGTTAATTTTGATTCATTTATTCATCGAATAAAAAACTTGAATCGCGAATAGTTTATTTCGATGTCATATGTTAAATACAAGGTCAGAATCATCACGAGCATTGATTTTATTCAGTTTTATAAAAAAATAACGGAATAACATCAATATTGAATGTTCAACATACATCGTAGAAATTATCGATGTTGCTGACATTATATTATACATTAAGTAGTTTACAAATGAAATGTATTATGATGTAGATATCGATTTAAGCGATTTAAAATTTAACAAGATAGCTCAAACAAAGTTGAAACATTTTGTTGCGTGAGCTATTGACCTAAATCTATTTCTTGAATTGATGCATATTTTAACACATCTATCATTTCAAATTATTCGTATGATTCCAATCTTATATGGATTGAGAGATATCCCTGTAAATAGTCTACATACAATCTCTCGGCATTCTCGGATTAAAAAGTATATAGTGTGTTTGCAATATTATGTATTTACGTTTAACAATGTCTTTAATTATGTATTTGGATCACATTGTGTCATGATTTATGGAACATATCTGTTTTTTAATTTAGAAGAAAAAAGAAAAAGACGAAATATTATTAAACGATTATCGAGATGTAGATATTAGTAAAAATATTATTTAGAAAATTTTTTTTAGAGAATGTAGATAGCAGCTTTGAATGTAGAAATTTTGTGAGGATGTCTAAAAATGATTTACAAATATCATAAAAAGTTGAAAAACAAGAAGAAAAGATATTAATTTTCGTGCAGCAATTCTTGTTTTTATAAGATTAATGTTAAAACGCTAAGATACATATCTAGCAATAAAATACATATTTTAATGCACATTCCTTC